AGAGAGAGATTTGCTGGCACATAATCAATTTGTCTGGCCATCCATCCATCCATCCATCCATCCATCCATCCATGTATTGCAACAGCCCCTAACATGAAATAAATCAATAACCAGGGATGGAATGTCAGTTGTTCTTGAGGAATAGAGATGCTCCCAGGCCCTAACAGGAGTTGATTGAACATTGTCATTGCAATGCATGTGTTCACGTGTGTGTGTTTATTTCACTCTCCTTCATTCAGATTACATTCCATCTTTGACATTTGCAACGTATTGACATTCTTCCAACTCAATCTGAGAACAGAATGTGAGGAGACGCTTAATGGGTACATCATGACATTGCGAATTTTTTAAAAGATCAAATGTCTGTCTTTCTCTTTTGTTTTCCCCCCCATTTTCATTTCATTTACTTGATCCCATTTCCAGGGCTCAAAATGGAGCTGCAAAAGTAACAAATCTTCAGCTCAAGGACCTGTTTTAAAAATCGGGTGACACAACACACAACCTCCACTTTATAGAAACAGCGGTTAAATAGAAGTGCGAGCCACAATTGGACATGCAAAAATCAGCTAGAGAGGGCTGGTATTGAGGGCTTAACCGTAGTAGTGCTAAATGAAAGGCAGGCAGTAACGCTAACAAATAGGTAAAGACCAACAATTTTGTTAGACAAAGAGAATATCTTCCATTTGAGGCAGACTTATTGGCCTTGACCAACTCAAGAAAAATAAGGAAGAGGGAAGACAGGTTAGAGAAGCTGACTCTAAGAAAGTCCTGATTTGCTTGGATCTGGGTCTCTTCTTCTACCCATCCAAAAAGACTTCAGAGGTGGGGCAGTGAAATTGTGGGCCGCACAGAGGCCCCCAGCCCCAATTTGCACAACCCTGAGAAGATCTCCTTAGACTACATCATCAATATTCAGGAACATGCTATGCATCTTGGGCCACAGGACTTATGAATTTTGGAAACATCATCAAATCTTTAAGTCACGAGTACGGTTTTGCCCATAAATCACTTTTTAATCCGACAAAAAGCCCATCAGGAGTTTCCGGTCATTAATAAATGTAGCTATTGCCTTCTTCATAAGCAAACGAGTCCATCTTTTCCAAAATAGNCCTCCTCCTTCTCCTCCCTGCAAATCCCACTCCCTTCTAGAACTGATGATGTTACCTACATGGGCAATCCAATGCCTGCAAACCAATCACCAAGCTCAGAGATCTCCCCAGGACTCCACGGTCCTCCTTATTGTCGCCCCTGACCATTTGACCTCCATGCCTTGAGGAACACCGAGGTCTCCAACACTTACCCAGGTGGGATGGAGGCTCTGCTGTTTAAGATGGCCGCCCGCTGTGTCCCAGGCCGGTTCAGGTTATTTTGACCCGGCACTTGAGTATTGTTGGGCGCGCTTTGGCTTCGGGAGAAGGTGGCGGTCGCTTGCATCCCGTTGGCAGAACGGGACTGCTCCATCTTGGACATCCCTCCCCCTTGTATGGTGCCCAAGGACCACAAGGCCGTCCCGTTGAAAGTATTGCTCTGGCGGACGGCCAAGGTCCCGTTGCTGTTCCCCGCGTAGACCTTCCGGCGTTGGGAAGCCAAGATGGCATTGGACGCGGCCCGGGTGCTGTTGACCAGCAGGCACTGCTGGCACGAACAAGGGTGGCCAGAGTTGGTGCCCACCGGCCAGGATTGGGACTTCGGGATGGAGCCCATGATGAGCGGGTAGGCTAAGTCCATGCGCCTCCGGAGACGCCGCTTCCTCTGCGTCTGGCGGTTGACTTGCGACATGCTGTTGAAGTAGATCAAGTAGCAGAAGCCCAAGGAGGAGAGGTCCAACCACGGATGCTGCTTCTCGTAGGCGTTCTGGATGGTGATGCAGATGTCCATGTCGTAAGGCGTCCAGGAGTTGTTGTCGTTCTCCCACTCCCACACCACCCCTTTGCCAGGAGCGGAAGAGGGGTCGTAAAAATTTCTCCGCACCGGGCGCATGGTCCCTGCGAGAAAAGGAGACCACCAAGTGATATGAGCTGATGCAGCACAGGAAATAATACAATACAATACAATAGCAGAGTTGGGAGGGACCTTGGAGGTCTTCTAGTCCAGCCCCCTGCCTAGGCAGGAAACCCTATACCGTTTCAGACAAATGGCTATCCAACCTCTTCTTAAAGACTTCCAGTGTTATGATATATGACATAGTTAAATAAAGAAAGGATAATGATAATAAATTATATACATGGAAGATTAGAAAGCTTTGGTATTAAATATTATGGATGTTTAGCTAAAACATGATATGAGGACTTAATGTTAATGGAGGATTTTATCAATAAGCAAATGAAATGCCAGCTTGTGGTTATGGATTTAATCTTGGTATATTTAAGGAT